TTTAGCTGACTGGGGTAAATTAATTAACCTGAATATTTTTCTTCATTTGTAAAAGGGGTTGCAATACATTCTCAGGGTTACTTATAAAGATTAAAGAGAGCATCAAGGTAAATATGGCAGCTTGATCACAGGCATTTATTATCAGTGTCTACCCAATCCCACTAAAATGACCGTAAAGGAATTTTTAAAAAGGAATAATCCCCATTGAAAAAATAGAGGGCTTCTATTAATAATTGGGATGGGTGAACCCTGTACTAGAACATTATAGTAACGCAATTTTAGAAACTAGAAAAGGGATGGGTGACAGAAAACTGATCCGAAGAAGTCGACTCTTAAGCCTGCGACCCAGTTTATACCACAGAATTCCCCAAAGGCTCAGGAATAGGCACAGGTACTTCTAGAAGGGCTTAAGGTAGGGCTAAAAAGATATGGTTGAAAATCTGTTGAAGAAACAGAGCCTAGGTTTTCTCCTCCACTTTTTGTAGCTGAACTAATGCCTCTTCCCTATCAGGAGAAAAGACTAGAGATTTACACATTGGAGAGAGTAAAATAGAGGGTTTTTATTAATTGAAGCAGGCCTTTGTACCCGAAGTAAGGGGATTAACTGCTCACATACTGAAATCAAGGACTCCCAGCCTTGCTTTTCCACTTAACACCCAAAACTGACAGCCATAAATGCCTTTCAGGCTGGAAGTTGAAAGATTCTTCTCTAGGGAATCTGATAGAGCCAAGAAGACTGACAATAACATTTTGGGTTTCAACTAAATAGCCCCTCCAGGTCTCCCTGTAGTGAAGCCCAAAGTCAAACAAGTATCACCGACATCTTTGCCTTTATTAGTGTCTGCCTCTTACATATGAGCAGAACACAGGATGAGAGAAGCTCCTAACATGAAAGAAACAAAACAAAAATAGTAACTTGAGTAGACTATGTAAGGGGGACACATCCCCAACATTATCATTATCCCCAGATAGGAGATATTTTGTAAATGAAACAGAACAAGGTGCTACCAAAAAAAATCATTTAGATCAGCGGTTCTCAACCTTCCTAATGCCGCGACCCCTTAATATAGTTCCTCATGTTGTGGTGACCCTCAACCATAAAATTATTTTCGTCGCTACTCTATATAACTATAATTTTGCTACTGTTATGAATTGTAATGTAAATATCTTTCTGTTTTCCGATGGTCTTAGGCAACCCCTGTGAAAGGGTCGTTCGACCCCCAATGGGACCCACAGGTTGAGAACCGCTGATTTAGATGATTAAAAAGAATTCTTGAAAATGGGTAATAACAAAAATGAAAATCTCAATAGAAAAGTTGAAAAATAAAGTTGAAAGAAATCTAGAGAACACAGCAGAAAACTTAAATGATGGAAAACAGGAGAAAGAAAATAAGAGGAGAGGACCAGTCCAAGCAGTCCTACTTCCAAATAATAGGAGTTCCAAAAAAAATAGCCCAGGAAAAACAAGGGAAATCATCAAATTCTTCAAGGAAATTTTCCAGAACTGAAAAATATGTTTCTAATTTGAAAGAGTCCACCAAGTACTCAGTACAGTGGATGAGAATAGATTCACAGTAAGGCACATCATAAAATTTCAGAAGCTAAAAGACACTGGACCTATATCTTAGAAATTTTGAGGGAAAATTATTTCCAGTTAAAAAAAATCTTGTCACTGTTTGCACATGGGAGGGTTTTCAAGTAGCAGTGTTTTCAAGGCTGCCCTGGTAATTCAGTTTCCTCTGGTAAAAGCCAACTGAAAGATTTCTCCTCCTTTGAAGGATTAGTAATGATTGATTTTTGGTGTTTATTTTTGTAATGTAGGGTTACCTATGTCACCATTAAAAGATTGTAAGCTTTAAAACATTTTTTTTCTTCTTTGTTTTAAGCCGCCTGATGGCATTGAAACGAATGGGAATTGTAAGCGACTATGAGGTATAATAAACTTTTCCAACTTTTGAAGATGATTTCAGTAAATGAAAATAATTTCTGATGACATTTTTGATGAGTTATTAACCAAGACATATAATTTTGCATTTCACAGAAAATCCGTACCTTTGCTGTAGCAATAGTAGGTGTTGGTGGAGTTGGTAGTGTGACTGCTGAAATGCTGACAAGATGTGGCATTGGTAAGGTAAAAACATTTCTCTTTGCCTATCATGTAGGGAACTACTCACCTCTGGAGTAAATCAGGTAAATCAGGATTTTTATTATTATTAGTGGTTTATTGATTTGTGGTGTATTTAGTCAGATTGTTCTTTCTACCCAAAGAGGTTAGGACATAACCCCACCAAAATAGAAACAGATAATATTGCTAATGTAAGAAGGACTACCTAATTGTGTTCAGGAACTTTTTTGTTTGGGTACTATATAAACAATTTGGACTTAANTGTGGCCTCTTAGGACCCGGCGCAGAAGCTAAAAGGGGCGGGTATTTTCTGAGGGGGAGCAATGACTGCAACCGGAAGCGGCACGGTGGGAGGCCCGCAGGAGTGGCGGAGACGTGTCGGTCTGTGAGGCGCTGGCAGCAGCACTTCCCCGGGCTTCTGGGCTGGGAAGGCGGCGCCGCGAGGTGCCTCCGTATATACCCCTCAGGGGCCCAGCAGACCTAGCATCGTGGGGCGGCGGCGACGGCGAAGGCCCGGGCTGGGCGCATTGGCGGCCGGGGTCCCAGCCATGGCCGAGTCTGTGGAGCGGCTGCAGCAGCGGGTGGAGGAGCTGGAGCGGGAATTGGCCCAGGAGAGAAGTCGGCTGGCCCTGGGGGGCAGCGACGGAGGCGGAGGAGGAGGAGGCCGGGCCCGCATCGAGAAGATGAGCCCGGAGGTGGTGGACTCTAACCCCTACAGGTGACCTGCGTCGTGGGTCGGAAGCGTGTGACGGGGACGAGGTGACGGTCTCGGTGTGGTCAGGAGCGAGGTGTCCCCCTCCGGTCCCGTTCACACGGCCCCCCATCTCCCTTATCTTGTTCTGGGGATCCTGTTCCCAAACGCGCAAGGCCAAGCCTTAGTACTTACTGGTCAAAGATGTTCTCTTAAAAAAAAACAAAAAAACCAAAACCAAAAACAAAACAGGTGAATCAGCCATATGGTGCTGCCCTTGTGCCTGCTGAGGATACGTACGTATCCGGTTTCCTACCGCCCCTAACTCTTAAATCTACCTCGCTCTGCGTAAAACTGTTAGTACCAGCTTTCAGAAGATGACATCAGAGGTAAAACCCACTAANTCTGTCCAGTCATCCTTTGTGGTCTGTTGCCTGAGCTTCTTTGCCATGAACAATGAAGCAGTTCATGGTCCTGAAATATATGGAAAAGAATAAGAGGTACAAACCTGTTGATGAGAGCTAGCAGGCATCTATTATCTTTGAAATTGGTCCCTATGAGAAAACTGCCCACAACCTACTATCTTGGCCAACAATGAATTTGAAATAGTTAACCTTATAAAATAAAAACATCCACTCAAATATTTCCTGATTACAAACTGAAATGTAGTCGTTGGAAAAATTTGTAAACCTGTGAATTACATATTCGAAACAAGACAAAGGCAATAAAAGGAAGCTTTCTTCATGGATAGACAGATAAAAGTACTTTCAGGAAATACAAATTATGTTTCTGCACTGACCAAGGAAAAGAAATCATTGCGTCTGTGGAACATGTACCTTGAGTCACTGTACTTTACTGAGGAGCAAGGGTTAAATTTAGGCTAATCATCTATTATACCCAGCATATGGGGTACCTTCTGAATACTTTATTTCATTTACATTTGATTCCCTAGGTAATTATTGGAAAGGGTTTGTCCTGGATAGTGGGTGGGCATAAAGGAGGCCTGAACTGCCTCTGAATGACTGACATGTACAGATTCTCTTTTAAAAGAGTATCATTTTCCCTGATCATGACCATGAAATTGTAAAGCGATAAACTTTTTATTTCTGGAGTTGCATATAAATAATGAAGGCTTCGAGAGCCTTGGCTGAAATACATTCCCAATGGTTTGAAGACCAGTAAAGAACATGCATGTGTAACTATTATCTGTAGGCTCTTATGCTAATCTATTTTGATGATTTTTTTGCTTTGAAGATATGAATGTCTAAATTGTATCTTTAGGGGGAAAATGTTAGTAAAAAATTAAAAAGTGCGTTCCCCACTTGTAAAATAAAGTTCTGAAAACTGATTTCAGAAAGCCCAAATATCAAATATGTTCAATATATATAGTTTGGANCCCTGGATCACCAGATTTAGATCAGCTGCTTTATTTTACAGATGAAGATGCAGGCCTGAAAAGTAAAAGTGACTTACCCACCATCAGAGCTAATTAGTGACAGAGTTACTACTCATACCTCCTTGTCTCCAAATTTAGGATTTCCTGCAACTTATAAACCAGCTATGAGGCTGAAAGTCAACCTTAATACATGGCCTAATATAATAAATATTGCTGAATGAGCTTAAATAAACCATATTTTGGAGACTCTAGGGTTAGAAAATTATCAGAGGGGGGCATAAGTGTTACCTTTCCTAGCAAGATACTAGGGATTACCTACCTACGTATTGTTTTTATGGAATGGGTTAATTTTTTTAAGTTTCTGTATTGAGAAGAAATTCCCATTTTTGTTTTCGTTGTTAAATTTAGTAGCTGAGAATTGTGTTACAAAATCACAGAATTTTAGATCAAGGAAAGGACCTTGGAAAGCCTTGGGTCCAACTTTTCTTCTGATAAGAAATGGGATCTTTTGGCCTTTTTGAAATGTGTGCATGTGTGTGTGACAAACGCTGTCATGCCTAAATATATAGCAGGAAACAATAATGAACTGATTGGATAGTAATTCTATTTGGAATACTGTTTTAGCCATGGCTTAGAAATTCCGAATTCTATTTGGAATAATGTATATATAGTGTCATATTCACAAATGGAGTCATGCTATACTATAGTTTTAAATTATGGCATTTGTTATATCCTATTTAAAAAATTCATTTATCAAATGGATTCTTGGCTCTTAGCAAAACATTGGAACGAAGTGGGATTTTGGCAGAATTAAAAAAAATGGGTATGAATTACAATGAACATTAATTTCTCAGCAAATCATTTAGAGAGGCAGTACAGTGTCTGGTTAGGGTGCAAATGCTGGATTGAGAGTGCCTGGATTTGAATCCCATTTCTACTATGTATTAGCCGAATGGCTTTTGGGCAAATGCCCTAGTTGTCTCATTTCTGAAATGAGGATAATATTATCTCTGTACTTACTTTGTATGAACATTAAATGAGTTAATATATGGCACCTAGTCTTTAAGAGTTCACTAATATTACTGTCAGACTGTTAAACCCATCAAATGTAAAGCCCACTAGTTTATTCTTTGTTAGTTTTTGTTTGGGGATGATCAGAATACCACTGTTTTCATTTTAGTTGCTGCTCTTTGACTATGACAAGGTGGAACTGGCCAATATGAATAGACTTTTCTTCCAACCTCATCAAGCAGGATTAAGTAAAGTTAAAGCAGCTGAACACACTTTGAGGTAAATGGAATAGCAATCCTAACTGTATTTAGTGAAAGCTTACTCTGTGTACTTGGTGTGAGTTAATGTATAAGTGGACCTGAATTTTCCTCTATAAAAATGCAGGTTTCACTTATACAAAGAATTCTCTTACCTCTTGGATCTGGGTTGGCAACCTTTTTCGGTATAAGGCTAAATAGTCAATATTTTAGGCTTTGAGGGCCATATGGTCTCTTTTGAAACCGCTCAACTAAGAAGTTGTAGTGTAATAGCAGTCATGGGCAATATAAATAATATAAAAATGAACATGGCTGTGTTCCAATAAAACTTTATTTATGGACCTTGAAATTAAAATTTCATATATGTTTCATGTCAAGGAATATTGTTGATCTTTTGATTTTTTTTTTTCCTGCAACCATTTAAAAATGTAAAAACCATTCTTAGCTTGTAGACCTTACAAAACCAGGTGGCAGGTCAGCTTTGGCCAAAAGGCCATAGTTGGCCAACCCTTACTCTTGGACGTTTCATTGTGGGCCCAAACGTACTTGCACTGCATTGAATAAGGAACCAAGAAGCTCTTTTGTCAGGCGGAGCTGTTACAGAGGTGATAAAGGCTTAATTCCCAGCACCTAGATTGTGGGAACATTTTTATAAGCCTTCTGACAATCTACGGTTTGTACCTAATCCTTGAACCTGGTCCTTGAAGTGGTACAAAAGAGATAGAAAAGGGCTTTGGGTTTTCTCTCAATAGCTTGAATT